TTTCGCTTCTTTTTAAAAATCATTGTGTTGTGCAAAGGCCAATCTGAAAACGTTTAAGAGACATAGAGACCTTAACAAGACATAGAGACCTTAACAAGACATAGAGACCTTAACAAGACAACATATAGAAGACAACTATACAAGAACACATTAAAATTAGGAACACAAGTTTCTTTCTTGTAAAGAGATACAGCTGCGTTGCGAAAAGTTTGTGACGCCCGAGGAGTGTGTGTGGTGTGGGGGGGGGGGGTGTTCCTTAGACTATAACGTCAATCGCAAATAAAATCACATGACGATTAACATTAGATTATCACATACAGAAAAGACATAACTTAGACTGTGCTACGGGCAGAAAAAATACTTCCTCGTTTTTTGTGCCAACTTCATTTTCTTTCACGTCAAACACCACATCGTTCATCAGCAGTGACTGCCTCACAAAAAAAAAAGAATTTAGTACAATATTTGAATTCCGCATCAAGGCAAAGCTCCAGAATTCTCTTCTTTTTGTCTAGATCAGATCTCAAGGCACCCAATTATTATTTGACTTACTAGTGTAAATGCGCACATGGCCTATGTAGTATTGTTTTCGTAACGTGATGTTGACAGCGTTAAAGTCTTCTGAGGTGAATCTGAAGCAGTCGCTGCTGGTGGAATCTTCATTGTTAAGTAAAGCCAGCAGATCCTTCACGCGTTGTGAGCTGCCTTGGTCTCCTTTCAATGTAATCACGGAGTTCGCGGCCAAGTTGCGACCTGTCGGAACATTGTCAGAATGATAAATATCCAACAGCAAGGGGTTAAGCTATTAATATTTATATTAAAAAAATAAAAAAGTTAAATGCTTAATCGGCCGTTCATCAGCACAGCTTCATGGACAGATATTTATACACACTTCAGCAACTAAGACATTTATTATTGGACGGGAAAATGTGTCCATAGACACTTCATTGGAAGGGGAAAAAAAAGTCGAGATTGATATTCAAGTTTAGAGGTATACGTCATCCCACTATTTATATTTAAATTGTTAGTCCATTGCCTCATAATGTATTGTTTTCTCTTATAAGCTCTACACGTAGAGGATTTAATTTAGATGTATACATGATAGATTATCGATCTAGGGCAAAGTTAAGAGCTATACATATCATTATTCAGAATAAAATACAGGCAAATTTAAAATTGCAAAAATGTGCTCGATTTCATTGCGTAGAACTTAAAATAATTTAAAAAGGCCATATCTTTTGAAACTGTCCGTGCAAAGTGCATTTATTGATGGCAAGGGGGTCAAGAAATTGTCCGTCGATGACGTGTACTTGCCGACGAATAGGTGTAGAGGAAATTTATTTCAAAGAAATGGTTGTCATTGAAATAACCATCTACATGATACCTCATACAATAATTTCAGATCACATTTCTCTTTACTTTTTTTTTCTCAACAATATACAACTTATTCATTTCTCGTTATTTTTGTTGTATAGTATTTCATTTTCATTTTCTTTATTTATTTATAATATTTTATTTTTAGATTACAAAAACATTAATTACATGTTTGAAAGATGACTTCAAGTTTTTAAAAGCTCATTGTGTCATATTGAACGATGTAAAAAGAAAAATTAAAAAATCCAGATTTTGATTCTTATGCATTTCTGAATGATCCTTTCCCTTTCTAATGTAGATCATATTTTAGAATATTAATATTAAACGTTGTTTGCTTATTTTAAGGGGTTTTTTTTGGATTTTTTTTTGTGTGTAGGGTTTTTTTTTCCAAATGTATTCTATGCTATACGGTTGTGTTTTGGTGGAACGATAGAATGTGCTAAGAACCACGTGCCTGTTATTTATAGAACCAAGTCTTTTTCAAAATATCACGTGAACATGATCCGCGAAATCGAAATAGTCGTAAAGAAAAACACTTGGTACAAAAAGTCGCACATTATGTCTCAACATTCATTTAGAAAAAAAATATTTAAGAAATATTACCAATCTCGAATGTCTTAATTTTCCGTCTGGGGGGCGCTTGGTCAGATTGTTACAGGCCACAACTTTTGGTTCCGTACACGTTTGTGAAATATGGCAGCAAGCTCTGCTTATCAGTAGATAATGTTTTCCTTTCATTTATAGGACAAGATCTTTTAGGGTGTAGAAAACGCTTTTAGGATGTGTCGATTTTAGCTGTTTTGTTCCAAATAATACACTGCGACTTAGCGCGTTACTGTTTGAAGTTTGACAATTCTATTATTTGCTCTGCAAAGTTACTTTTTTTCATATTAGTATACATACTCATCATCATCATCATGTCCCTTAGTCCTTGGACCGTTGGGACGGCACAGATGACATGAAAACTACCCCCCCCCTTTATTCCGCTCTTTTTTCTGCATTTCGCAAAGCACCGCCTAGCTTTAGTCCCGTCCACTCTTTGATGTTATCTTCCCATCTTTTTCTCTGTCTTCCTCTTCTCCTCTCTCCTCTCGTTGTGCCCTGCATGATTTATTTGGCGAGCCCTTGTTTTCTTGTCAAGTGGCCATAACATTCCAGTATGCGCTTTCTTTATAGTTCCAAGAAGATCATCATACCGCTAGATTGCTTGATGAATGTTTTGTTTGACTTGTTCGCTAGAGATATTGTCTCTATATTAGATTCCAAGAATGCTTCTAAAACAATTCATCTCCATGATTTTTATATATCTTTCACGTTTTGCTTTTAATATCAAGGACTCACAGGGATAAAATAAAATGGAGAGGACTAAAGAGCGCATCAGCCTAATGTTGGTGCTGGGGGACATATTTTTCTTAAGCGTCTTTAGTGCTGTTGTGGTTTGGGTAATCGTGGACATCGATTCTGGCTTGGAGCCTTCTTCCGAAACTATTGCTCATTGGTACTTGAACCAGCCTACTGAAACCTTATCTTATTATGAAACAGTATCAATTGTATTGGTACACGGCGCCAAAACGAGATATTTATAATGACCCTTATATTGTTCTGGATATTTCTGCTGTAACATGGCGGGTTTGTAGGAAAATGTATAATTTTAGAATCTCAAAGTTATAGAATATTTTTTTTAAATACTTACTGGGAATGGCTTTTAAATTGCCGGTTGTTAAATTATTTTAAAAAATAAATTGTTTGACAAAATTTCAAAGAAATAAAACTTGTATAACCAGTCACACCTTAGCGCTTCCAATTTTTATGTACCGCGCCTTATTTCATTGCGAAATGTTTGCGCCCGCCGGAAGATTTAAAAAGGATTTATTTTGTTTAGTACAAAAAAAAAAATGTAATTGGAATCAAAAGTATATTGAGAATAATCTTTTCAAAAAGTTTCAGGTTCTCCCATTCAATGTTGGGTTGAGAAATTGTTCAAAGAATAATAAACAACATTATTTTCTTTTTAAAAAATATGTTAATTTCCAATAAGTTTTTCAAACGGTCTTTAGGTACTCCTAATAAGCTAACTAAGACTAATTTCTAATAACACTTTAAAATCACATTAGCATGCTAGCTACGACTCAAAACTAATTATATGTTCAAAGTATCTTGACAGTTTAAATACGACTGAGTTCTAATAATATAGAACTATCTCAGGAGGCTGCCACACGTGGCAAAACTAATATCTACACTGATACAGTTGATTATAATGGGGCTTGTTTGATCACTTAAATGTTTTGTTTGTTGTTGTTTTTTTGGGGGTGGTGGGGGTACTTTTGAGATAATCAACTTTTTTTACCCTCGGCCCATACATGTAAAAGAAATTACTCATGTGACGTCAGATTAAAGATATATCTTAACTTACCGCCACTGACATAGAAGGAACAGACCGAGTCACTTCCATTCCAGGTAACAATTATTTGATCCACGACCACCTTCTGAGCACAAAAAATGTCGTAGGTGTTTTTCACTATTTCAATGGCGCGCAACGGTGAGCAAACCGTCAGGTTCCGCATAATGCCGTCCGTCAAAACGTTGAGGGACAATTCGATGATGGACGCTAGTAAGAAGCATAACTTTAGCATTTCATTCAAGATGAGTCTAAACAGATACCGTCATTATTGTGTTGAATTGGTTCTATATTTGGTAAGTGGCCGGGTTAATATAATAATTATATAAGCATAAGGTAACTCTTTTTATGATGTTTTTTATATTGGTTTTAAAATTTGTCATGAGAAGACAACGACAAGCTTTCCGGGAAAAAAAGAATTTATTTTTAAAAAATGGCTAATATCTAGAAAAATATGAGAAACTAGTATCTCACTCTTAAAACAAATCATTGGGATTTATATTATGATGTGGGGTTATTTATTTATTTATTTATTATTTTTTTTTTAATTTATTTTTTTTTTTATATGTAAGGATACGTCAATAGTTATAAAGACGCCAGTAATGAAAAGTGAAATTTATTTATTTATTTATTTATTATTTTTTTTTTTAATTTATTTTTTTTTTTTTATATGTAAGGATACGTCAATAGTTATAAAGACGCCAGTAATGAAAAGTGAAATTTGTGAACAGTGAAATTTGTGAACAGTGAAATTTGTGAACAGTGACATTTGTGAACAGTGAAATTTTCATTATGGAAATTAAAAAAAAAAAAAAATTCTGTTAATGTAATATTTGTTTCTGAAGAAACATTTTTAAAAAAAAATTCTCTTTGTAATTCGTAATGCTCATCATGACGTATATTCCTGTGTGTTTCTTCTGCAATGGCGTCCCCGATAATATTTATTAAAATCTAATTACATAAAACTAGTTTGATTGACATGTAATTTGAAATTTAAACATTTGAAACCTTCTTTTTAAAATAGGTGTTGTGTGTACACATTTGATTGGCATTGTTGCAGACGCCTAAAAAAACCTTCCACAAATTCTATAGTGTAGGGTGGTGTCGTTGTCTTATTCAGGAACATGCAGCTTTGTGGCCAGGTAACCTTTACTATTTAGAAACTGTTTAAAAAAATTAAGATGAGAGAAAGAAATGAAAATAAATAGTATGTATATTTAGTGTTACCTTTGTCACTGAACACAATCCTGGTCCAGGTATAAGCAACGGGATACGCAAGATCGACTGTGATCATTTTAACACCAAACGTGTGGCATGTCTTATCGTCATGATCGGTTAACCGTAGACTGGCCACTTTGGCCGTGGCTGCCACATCGACTGTCATTTGAAATAGTTTCAGATGGTTAAGTAATATTGACAAAAATATTGTTTTGATTGATCATATTATATTTTTGAGAAAAGTATTGAATAGTGTGAGCCTAAATTTATATTTTCCACAAGTCTGTTAAATTTTCTTTCACTCTTTTCTTAACCATGAAAATATAATAACGAAGTTTTCTTTTTGTTTCTTTTTTTTTGTTTTTTGGGTGGAAGGTGGGGATTGGTAACAATGTTTATCCAACCCTGTTGGCTTATCTTTTGCTACTGCACTAAGAAAAACTTTAATAATACTCAAGCGGTAAAAAAGAAAGCGCTTACAATACTGACAACCCAGTGCAAACCATGGTCTTGAGCAGCTCGATCCATTGACACATCGGCCGTTTCTGTCACAAGGTTCGTTCCCACAGCGACATTTGTTGCAAGTTCGACCAAACGAACCTGCGCTACAAGATGCAACTAGAATTTTAAAAAAAAAAAAAATAAATTACTAAAAATAAAAAAAATATTTAAAAAAAAATAAATAAAAAAAAAAAAATAATTAATAAAAAAAAGAAGTTATTACGCTTTCAAAGTACAAACAGCAGCTGTTACTGGTGTAAGACAGGTGAACAATTCTTATTGATCGTTTGACACACTGCTTCAATGGACACACTGCTTCAATGGACACACTGCTTCAATGGACACACTGCTTCAATGGACACACTGCTTCAATG